TATGTTTTATATCTTACAGTGCTGATCCTTTGTCCAACATGGTTCTAGCTTTCTCTACTAAAGAAGATGCCATTGCCTTTGCTGAAAAAAATGGTATGTATTTGAGAACTCTAGGTCATGGCAGTATTTGTGTTTGAGTCCATTTTGTTTAGATAATCTTTACCATTTGGGAAGAAAAGTTACATTTAATAAAGTAAGCAATAGTGTTTTGAAGCTAACATTCTTTAAGTACCAGTTTTAATTTTGATAATTACATATTAAAAATCCCTCTTTAATTATGTAGTTACCTCATAGTCAGTAGTAGCTCTGAAAACTTTTGGTTGTTGTGTATGCCTACTTACGAATTTGGGAGATAGGATTTGATAGCATGTGATCAGGGTTCTATTCTTGACTCTGCTGTGTCTGATCTTGTGCGAGTCACTTTGAGATGTTTATTTCACTGTGGTATTGAGAGGCTCCATCCATGTTACGTGTGAGGCAATTAATTTCCGTTTGTTAGAATGCACTAGAAATGCAAGTATATTAGTAGTAGTCATTTTTAATTTTGATTTGGCAGTCTAATGGACTGCTCATATGCATTAAGATAAGCACATGCTTAAATCTCTAAAGGATTTGGGCCTTAATCTTCTAACAGGCCATTAGAAGTACTATGTATACAGTAAGCAGTGTACAGTGTGTTAAATAACTTTTTAGACATTTTTTCTAACAATGTCCTTTGCAAGTGGAATTTGCAACTGCACAAGGAATTTGCTCCATTACTCCAGCTTCCGCACACAGTTCTGCCAATGAACTTCATCTTGGCCTACAAACGATTACTATTTTCAGTCCTAGGCACCTCATGAGTAGGGAGTGCCTGTCAGATCAAATTGGTGCCAAATTATGTGGTATTTATGATGTGTGCACACATGCAGGGAACTAGGAGAAGCCCTTCAAAGAGATTTTCACTTAATTCCTGTCACTACAGGTCATAACTTGCATCTCCAGAGGTGAAATACTAGGGTATTAAACCACAATGTTGCCTAATCTTTCCCCGTTCAATGTATTTCTGAATTTAGAGTGGTCACAGTTCAATTAAAAATAAACTGAATTAATTACCCCCCAAAAATCTGCCTGTTTCCATTGGGATACACAAATTACTGTTTCAGAAAAAGTTAAAGAATGCAGTAGTTTTCATTCAGTCCCCACAGCACCTTCATCTCCCTCAAGGGCTGCAAGGTATGCAATGCTGCATGTATAAAGTACTGGATGAAAGGTGATGAGCAAAGCAGGAAATCAGGAGAACCCAGAGCTGCCTTAATGATAGCACTTCTGTTCCACTGCCAGGTTTTCAGCTTAATAGGTGCAAAACCTAAGAGGGGAACACATACTTAATCATCTCGTTAGCATAAAAATCAGGCTTAAACCCATCTCCTTGGACATGCCTAGTCTCCACTCTCCCCCTGTCCTTTTAATCTGCGGACTTGAGTATGATGCCTGATGTTTACTACTGCTCATTGTGGAGGACTTTGCCTGCCAATTTACCTTATTTGTGCCTCAGTGGCAGTGGTGCTGATTCAGCCTTTAGCAACATGTAGGGGATTGCAGGATCAAGGCATAAAGCCTTGTATAAACACAGAAGCTGCTCTAGTTTAACTAGGGGTGTGATTTTAAAAAAATACCAGTTCGGTTTGCACTAAAGCACTTCCCGATGCCAGTAAAATCAATATAAACTAGGTAAAATCAATATAAAGTGTCTACACAGATGTTTGTACTGGCTTAAGTGATTTGATTTTAATATCACACCTTTAGTTAAACTGGTGCAATTTTATGTGTAGCCCTTATCTGTCTTCAGACCTTATTAGTTGAGGATCTTAAAACAGGCAGACCTGGAAACTTAAGTTATTACTTTGTGCGCGTATAAATAAATAAATAAATAAAGCCTGTGTATATTGGGGGAGGATGTGTGTGTCTATATATATATAAATACAGCGAGTCATGACAATGTCACTATATTTCATTCTACTTTAAAAAACGCATTCATAAATACTTGTTAAGAGAAGAGAGATCTACTGAATCTCCTCAGGTTCTTCTAAGCTGGACCAAAACTAGTGTTCAGACCAACAATTTGTGGCAATTGCGCTAGTAATTTAAATTATAAACTTGGGTACATAGTCTCTGTGTGTGTATATTTATAAAAAATAAATTAGGGAACTGACTCTTCCCAGCCAGCTCCAAACTGAAACTCTCCAGCCCCTTCTCTGCCTTTGTCCCTTTCTCGGGCCAGGAGGTCACCTGATCTTTGTTCTCCAACACCTTCAGTTGGCACCTTTGCAGAGGAAGGGCCCAGGCTATCAGGAGACAGGGTGTTGGCCATTCTCTGTGTAGACCCTTGCACACCCTTTCCCTCCAGGGTTCTGCAACAATCGCACACCCTTATCTCACCACCTAGATACTTAAGAAATGCATAGGGGAAACTGAGGCACCCTCACAGTATTTAGAGAAAACATTAAGAACATTCCCACTTTGTCTCACTCGCATATCTCAAATATATCTTACATATAGGATAAGAGATGCTTAGAGCAAATGCAAGACTGTGATTCGCTCAAAGGGGCTTTGCACAAAAGTGTATCTTCTGTTCTCTCTGAATGGCACAAAGCTAACTGAATACAGCCAGAATGTATACATTAATACTGTCATGTTATAAATGTTTAAAAGGTTCAGAAGTATATGTTGGGGTTTTTTAATTTTCTTTTTTAATTTAACTTTAAGGAGGAAATTTACCCTTTCATTGACATCAGTGAAACTTGTGCTTCTGTAAATTTCTAACTTAAAAATGGAAGCATTTCAACTGTTTAATGATTGAGTGAAATCATGTTGCAGAAAGGGAGCCCAAACTTCATAATAACAAGCGTTATATGGCAACTTTCCAGATACCTGGAGGTTATGCCTAATTTGCATATTGATTTACATAAACAGTATTGTCACTATCTCCACTTTTCTGACCTTTTTAGCATTTCCTTTGCAGAATTATCATATTACTTATCTTTTAATGTTTTATTCCATTCTCTCTTATCCCCATTTTATTCTCTCTCTCATATATACACACACACACACACCCCGATATAACGCGACCCAATATAACACGAATTCGGATATAGGTAAAGCAGTGCTCCGGGGGGATCAAAGCAAGTTCGATATAACGCGGTGAGATTTTTTTGGCTCCCGAGGACGGCGTTGTATCGGGGTAGAGGTGTCCTTTTCTTTTTACTCCTTTCTACCTAGCTTTGATTACTTATTCTTCTTTTTCCTGGCCTGTTTTCTCCCTCTTTCTCCTTTGCTTTGCAAAGTCTCCCTTCTCTCCAGATTCTCTCCCACCCCCTTTCCCTAGGTCTCCTTTATCTTTCCTCACATCACCCAGTCTCTCCTTCCCTCCCTAACTTGTCATTTCCCCTCTTGCTGAATTCCCCCCAGCCTCCCTCAAAGGGCACATGCATTCGCAGAGTCATGGTGTCTCAGTCTGACGTAAAATATAGAGATGTGGACCCATGAGATTATGGGACTATATACCTCACAGTCGGTGCTCCCTTTTGTGCTTTCCCACTGAAATAATGCCCTAGGAAGGAGTAGTGAAAGTTGAAGTATGCAATATCTGATATCTGACAAACCTGAGAATAGGCGTAGGTCACATTTAGGGCTTCTCTATGTTATAGCATCATTCTCTACTGCTGATTACAAAAGAATAAACTAATAAGTACATATATATTATATATCAGAGGTGTTTATATTTCTTTTCTGTTAAATATTTAAAGTTTTAATTTATATTTCTTTGTTCATTTGCTCCATATTATATGCTGTATGTGTATTGTTTAAAATTCTCTGCATGTTTTTCCCCAGGCTGGAGCTATGATGTTCAAGAGAGGAGGATTCCAAAGCCTAAATCCAAGTCTTATGGTGAAAACTTTTCTTGGAACAAAAGAACAAGGGTGTCCACGAAATAGGTTGGCATTGGCTATCTCTCTGTCTGACTGTGAATAAAGTCAGCTGTGCTGTATTTATAGTCCATGTATAATACATCTCTTAATCTCCTAATAAATTTGACCTTTAAACTACAGATGCATCTTGTGGTGTCTATTTAAAATGTTTTTGATGTCTCCAATTGAACCTGTTACAGCCTTCCCTATATAGAGAGGAGATTTGGGGTGTTCATACCTCTAGGAAATTGCTGTACTCGGAATCCATTAAAAGGAATGTTTGAAATCAGCTGCAACTTTAAGGATTGTGCCTTGCCTTTCATAGTAATTTTGTAGTTCAATACGTTGTTTAAAATCACCACCCTTTTATGTAGATGTTCTGTTAACAGGAACTCCTCTGTTTTTGTTGTCATTATGTACAGGAGAAATTCATCAGTCTGACAGCATGGTATGGCATGCAGAAGTCGGTATCTGCTTATTATTTAAGCTGTTTGGTGGAACTGCATGTACTATAAGCTCCTTTCAGTCCAAATTAATACTGTGCTGTAAATGTGACTTCCTAGAAGCATTCATAATCTGAGTAACAAGCTAGCACTGTGTGGTTGTGTTTAAAAATATTGTATATTCCTATGAATTTGAGCTGCAGTCTAAAAGATCAAGATTAGTAAGCCCTCCTGTTCGATATACCTTCAAAGTACAAGTAGATGGGAAATTTTAATACTTAACTCGTACTTGCAAATTAAATCAGAGTAGTAAGGTAGCAGCTATAAGGTGCTCTTGTAACATTAAATATATGCTAATATACCTATTTTATCACACCTAAATTTTACTTTTAATAATATAGAAAGCAAACACTTACCTAAACTGCAGGTTCCATAAAAATACTACAGATGTTTCATTAGCCTTTCTACTAAAACATGTAACCCAGCACTGTGATGGTGTATTTAATTAGAACGTTTGTCGTGTAAAATTCTATATTTGTAGTCTTTGACTTACCAGTGTCTTTTCTTTGCCCTTTATTATTTTTCAGTAATTTTGTAATTGACAAGTTGAGACATCAGCAGATAGTCACTGACGAGACTTATAAATGTTGGTATAAAACTTGTGTACAACAAATAGTTTACCCTGAGTCCCACAAAAGAGTGTTCAGACAAGTTCCATTTTTCAGATGGCTGCTGCTATTTATAGGACAAGACACTTGAAAATGGTGCAACTGCAATCCATTTGTACACTGACCAAAGGAAAACACAAACAGATGTCTAGGGTGACTCAGGGACATTACAAGAATATCACGGAGTCTATTTCACAAAGTTGTCCCAGCGTGCTGGCTGACATTTATTTAAACCATTGTTTTTTTACCCAATTTCAGTATAATCAACTGGCTGGCTGATGTTGCTGCCTTCTAAACACAGAACTCGTATTCCAGACACACCCTAGTTCATTATCTTTCTATTGCATTGTGCATGCGATGATGTGCGGTGGCATCTAAGTTACTCCAGAAATCCCAATGTGCACCAAACTGGAGATTTGAACAGCCCAGATTCCATTGCGTCGCTACATCTTTCAACCCGACTAGCACTCTGTCCTCCACCAAGGAGACACTGGTAATAAAATCCATCCGATAGAATCTTTTGGTTTCCTTTCACAAGCCATGAACAGCAAGATCCAGCCTCCACATAGTGGACCTGGGGCTCCTGCTTCAACCCTTGTCAGTACTCTCTGACCATCATGGGCTAGATTATTTTTTGGTTGGTTGGTTTTTTTGGTCCTAAAATATGCAGATTGGCACCTATTGGTGTTTCACCTGGTTTTGATGAAGTCTTCAGTCATCCTCAAGCCCAGACCCTATCCATTTTCTCCAGTCACATTCCCTGCTTTCTTTTCCTGCATTTGGTTGCAAGCCATTAAAAGTTACAGGGCTAAGTATCTCAGGAACAAAGACACTGATCATGGTGGAAAGCTAGTTATTGGCTGAGCCTGCCACTATACCATCACTCTTTACATTCAGTTCAACAGCATTTCTCTGTATAGAATGCAGTAACTTTTCAATGCCGCGTTTGATCAATGTGAAAATATGAGGGAATGTTCTAGGCATCAAGGGCCAGAGCTGTATATTTTGGAGAAAAAGGAGGAAAAAGGGGCGGGGGGGGCCATATGAAGACTCTGCTTGCTCTTAGCAAAGCGACAACCTCAGGCACATCTGTAATTGTCAATAGATCAGACTTGTTCCTGGCACCCATTAATGCTTTTCAGCATAACAAAATACTCCTTGAAATAGTGTTTTACATATTGACAGCCTGACTGACTTATCAGCCAGCCAGAAAATAGAATAATGGCTTTTGGAGGAAGGGGGAATGGAGGTATGCACACAGCCCCATCATGGAGAGGCAACATGTGGGATTCTAGTGTGGGGGGATTGGGAATAGGGCACACATACCCCTCTGGTGGTGAGAGATTGGAAAACCCTCATGGGGTGGAGGAACAAAATGGCCTTTGCATTGGGGGAATGTCTGAATTGTGAGGAGGAAATGGTGGGGCAGATAGTTCCTGGCATGGTGAAGGGGGGAATGAGGGTGTAAACAAAGCCCCTTTTATGGGGGCAGAATGGCAGACTCTTGAATGGATATGGGGGAATAAGGGCACAGAGCCCCTAATATGAAGAGAATGGGGGACAGAGGGACCACACAGACCCTGACATTGGGGAGAGGGAATGGGGCACAGAACCCTGGTAGAAAGGAGGATGGGGGGAGAAGAATGGGGTGGCACACAGAGCCCTTGCATTGGAGGAGGTTGGGGGATCCTGGAATAGGGGGAGGGCTTATAGGGGGCACAAAGAACCCCTGCTGGTGGAGATTGGGGGAACCAGGAAGAGGGATTACATAGACAGCCAATCATGGGCAGGAGGGCAAAATGGGCACACACAGCCTCTGCTATGGAGGGCATAGAGCAGAGTGAGTGGTGAATTATCTGTAACTTGAAATCAAGGACTTCCAGGACTCAGCCAGAGGTGGTGGGCCTATTGCAGGAGTGGGTGAGGTTCTGTGGCCTGTGATGTGCAGGAGGTCATGATGGTCTCTTCTGTGACTCTGTGAGCGTGCACACGGAACCCCTGGCAGAGGGGAGATTGAAGGAGTTGCAGGCAGTCCCTGAAAACAGGATGGGTGGGTGGCACACAGGGAACTTGTGTAGGAGGGGAATGGAGGTTTGTGCAATAAACTCAACCAGAGTGTCTGCCCCCCTAGTCATAGCTATACCTACTCAGGCCTTCAAGTTCTTTGCTCTGCTATGTGGGGACAAATTTATTCTCAAAATCAAATTGGATATATGAGCCTCATAGGAAGAACTAAGCACAAACACAATTATAATGTTAGAAATAGGAAACACTTTTTAGATAATTGGCTCCATCCCCTTGCTAGTGCAACACCAGAAGATGGTTTGCTGTATGATTCCAGGTTTGACCACAAATTGCACCAGATTACATGACTATGGCACCAAATTGATGCTAAAACAATGAAGAAAAGGACTCCAGTTCTAGCTGTTTCTGTATAAGGTGTAGTTCATCTCTTCACTGAACTGTGCATGCTACAATATGCAGCAGAGTCTTACTTGCTCCAGAAATCCCGGAATAGATAAAGACTAGATCTAAACAGGTTACCTATCATACATTGGGTAAGTACTAGTTGGGTATTCTCAACCAGGAGTAGTCATCAATATGACCTGTGAAATCTAGAAACAGGCTTGGGAATTCCCACGAACTACACAGTTCCTCATCAAGCTTGGTATACCATGGAATTGTCTCTACAATAGACTAGTCAGGCTTTCAGAAAAGTTAATTGTAAGTGGCATTTTTTGTTAAAAGTTGGTAAGTCTTTTAAAGATAATTAGGGTGTGCGGAATCCAAATATGGTTGTTACCAAGCTGTATGTTGTGTATAAAGACTTCTACAAAGAGAAAAAAGTAATACATGGAAATCACTGAAGTGTAACTCTTTTTAATTTTCTTTTCATTTAGGATTAACATACTTCAGTTGGATCTTAATGAGCTGTAGGATGTAAGAAAAATGATCAAAATGTTATACAACCATGAAAGACGTGGCTCTTATAACTTGAGCATTAGCATCGTGAAACAAAAGTATACAAGATTATTTAACTCTCAACTACAATACATAATCTGAAAACATCTGTTTTAAACAGGTGAAAATATTTTCTTGATTAAACATTAAATAAACATTTTTATATACACAAGTTAAGCACAGATGTTAAGAAACATTGGTATATAGTGGCAGAGTGAATCAATATGTTATTAGGTCACTTACTATGACACAGCTACATAACACTTAGTGCTTATAGATAGTATTAGGTGCACTGACAGAGCCCTGTTCCAGTTCTCTGCATTTGTATGGTTCTGTACAAACAAGTGCTGGCCTGCACTTGCATTGCTGACTTCTGCACCCTGTTGTGCAGCCACTGTATATTGCCTCCATGTAGTCTGCTGTGATTGGTGGCAGTGACATGAGCTGTGCCATCAGACCTCTGTCCTCCTGTTTTCCAATTCACTGTATTTGGAGGAGAAAGTATTGGATTTGGGCAGCGGGTGGGTCTCCAGCGAAAAAATAAGCACATCAGTGTCCCTGGCTGGAACAAGCATACTGTAAGTATACTGTGCACAGAGTGTAACATCGTTCTTGTCTGCTTCTTCCTGAGGAGACACAGCTGATTGGTGTCAACTCTTGCTACCGAGCACGATATTTCAGCCTCATGCTGAAATCACCAGCCACAATGACTATTTTATCATGTGGTGCTTGAGTCATTAGTTGCTCAGATAAAATAAGGAGGACCTTGCAATATTTTTCTGGAAGCTCAATGAAATTCATCTCATTACTTTGAAGAGGCTCATAGCTTCAGGTGGGACTTGAACCTCTTGAGAGTTTTTGCCTTCTACCATGCTTAATAGATTGCTTGTAGTACTAGGTATCTATTCTGTGGAAGACTGCTCCAGTCCTAAGTACTATTTTTTTTTAAATGTGCCTGCAAAGTCTCCAAATGTTTTGGCTCCAGACGGCTTTCCTATGGCGTGTACCAAAGCCTCTGCATCTATCACAAGACAGCTTCTTCTTCTTCAACAAGGGTAACTGTTGATG